AACGAATGGAACCAAACGAAAGGAGGAGAAGTGTTGGACCGCCGGATGAGAGAGAAGGCAAGGCTCCTCTTCTTCTCCCTCTCCTCCTCTTCTTCCTCCTGTGAGGATGCTGTGTGTCTTTTCTTCACTCTCAGATCTACTCTGCTTTCATTTAACATACAGATACCAAACATAGATGCACCTGGCACAATGGAAACGGGAGTGTGCATGTGTGTGTATGTGTGATGGAGGTGAGAGGGAGGATAGAGACACTGGCTCACCTTCCTGGCAGACAACGATGGCCTGTCTGTCTGAAATGTCCTACTTAACACTGACTCACACACTTAACCCACTCCACACCACCACTTTTACTGCTCTGTCCTTTTGGTGGAGTGAATTAGGAGTTTTTAAAAATTGACAAATTTGACTTGGACTTTTTTTACTGTGATGTTTTTGAACACCACAGTAAAACAGAGTGACATTGATTTATGTTTAGTCGTTCCCAAAGAATGACTACAAAGTTACAGGGTGTTTTTCAGTCATTTTCCAACAACAGGTCCACAACTGAACCCAACCTATTCACAGTCATTCTGACCTTGTCTGGAGTTTGTGCTCCAAAGCTAACCAGAGTTTGCTTTTTGCCTCCTAACATTCTCAAAGTATTATTACAAGTACTATTCAACATTAAACATGTTTTTAAAGAACACAGTGTAGAGCAACGACAAGTAAAGGCGGCCTTGGATTGAGGTTCCTCACCGGCCACTGCAGTCAAACCTCAGTTCAGATTCACTGCTCAACTCCACGTCGAACTGCAGTGGTGAGGGTGGCATCAGGAGTCTGTGCCGGCGGGTCAGATGAATGTGAAGCACCTGCAGCAGCAGGGCTTTTGGCTCCAGTGCAAAAATGTTTCCATGCTAAAGTGCCACACAAGCAAACAATAAACAAACACTGAAACAAACATTAATAAAAAAAACACACACACACCACACACACATTCAGGAGAAGCAATTGCCTACGCAGCAATTAGCTTGTTTTAACAGAAACAAATAACAGTTATTTACCCAGAATGGCATCCATAACAATTCACCCCTGGAGGGGATCAGCTAGGAACATACACACACCGACACGGACACGGACACGGACACGGACACGGACACGCGCCCGCGCGTCCATTAAGTGTGCTTGAGAGCGGCAGAGAGGGTCAGCTCAGTGTCTACGTTATTATGCTTCCCCAGTGGGAAAGCTGTACTTCGCACACACACACACACTCACTCACACACACGTTCACACACAAATGCAAAAATGTATTATCACCTATTAACACATGAAGGTGCAAATATAAAAGGCTGTCTTTGATAATGGACTGCAGAGATGAATAAAGCTAAAATGATGGAGTGAGTGAGAGAAAGTGTTTGGTCCAGCGATTATTTCCTTGTGCGAACAAGACGTACAACAATGGTGTGAAACATCTGCAGCCACCAGGTAATTACACTGGGGCAGTGCTGCAGCACCCAGTCGTGGCAACCCCGTAATTATCCTTGCATCTCCATCAGCATCGCCCGCTCTCTCACTCCTCTGGCCACCGGTGTATTGTGTCTTTGTGGAGGAGGGCCACAAATGGACAGCTGGAAATGTTTAATTTCAATCATTTCTAATTAAAATTAATAATTTTATACAACACGTAAACTTCTGTAATCGTCGGATCCTCAAGTTTACGATGGTACCTGAACAACTCTCAGGTGGCTGACCACGCCATAATCTGTGTCGACCTGGTGGTTTGTGCCTGTTATCAAGCTGCTCTGCTGCTCAAGCTAGCATGTAGCTAGCCTAGCACAAAATGGACAGGTTTTTGACACAGAAATAGACCGAAGGAGCAGACCAACAGTTTATTATTAAGTTTTTTAATTCAGTGCTTAAAACATGTTTGATAATAATTTTATTCTGAACAAATGTAATAAATATTGAATAGTGAATACAAGAAAATACCTTCTAGTTGATGTTTCTTTACATATTTTGTAGCATTGTCTGTGGGTTTGTAAATGTGTTCCCCCGGTCTGAAGCCACCACTGTTGAGTGAAGGTTTCTCCAGGTTGTAGCAGACGCCTTTCCTCGCTCCTTGTTGAAGCCATCTGTCTTTTCTGGCAATATTACTTACATTTTCATCCTGAAAAGAGTCACCTTTCTAGTCCTGACCTGCAGAGTCAGCTCTCTTCTGTTGTCATGTCTTAGGGGTGAACTAGTTTATGTCAGCTGGTGTTGCTGGTGTAGAGTCTCATTCATCAAGGTCATGGTTCAAGTCCGATGGACTTGAGGTTTAGTTTGAGAAGTTTTTGTCGCTCATCTTCTTCAGTTCTGGGAGTGGTTGGTAAAGGTCATCGTAGTCCAGCAACACGACAGTCAAGTCTGACTGTTTCACAGCCACTGGGTTTTTTTATCCATCTTAGAGTTTTCTTTCAGGATTTCATTTATCCTCAGGAACAAGGGGGAAATCTAATTTCAACCACTGTTCTCCAGAGTTCCTTTACATTTTCCATCCATCGTGTCTTCATCACATGTGCAGGAGTTTACCTACTCCAAAGTGTGTGTGCGTGTGTGTGTGTGTGTGTGTGTGTTTCCTAAACACTTTTACCATGTGTACTGTTTTTTTCTTTTCTTCAGCCAGGAGCCCCCGTCAGGACCCCAAGGCCTCCTTGTGCCTGCCTGCCAAAAACACGTCTGCATCTCCCAGAGTCCCCTGGAGGCAGGGGACAGCCAAATGTCACTTGGACAATCTACACAGTGGTGAGAGGAGGACATGAAGAGGAGCAGGAGGATGAGAACAAGGAGTCACCAGGAGTGAGAGAGTAAGCACTGTAGGAAATAGCAAATTGAATGATATGAAGACTAGACTGATGGAGTGCAAAACAAGACAAACGCTGTCAGTCAAATGTTCCAAATCTGGTCTAGCGGCCAGTCACGCTACTAGACCTGCAATATTTAGCCAAATACATTTCTTTAACTATAAAAGTTAATTATTCAACTATTTCTATGCTTTTTTGGATGACGTTATGGACCTGATTTTTGGTACATTTTAGCTTCTCCAGGGGACGTTTGTTTGTTATGTCTAACCATACATTTTTTATGATAAAACTATTAGCTTTTGTAGTTTATTGTTAGTTTATAATCTATTTTTAATTCTACTTTCTAAACCTGCTGTATTTTATCTATTACTTGGTCAGTTTAATTAAGCTAGCATTAAGCTAATTTGCGAGTTTCTTTCAGCCATCTATACTAATGAGCTAATCTATACTAATTACAATCTTTTACTGTAGCTCTGTGCTCATCTTTTAGCTATATTTGGGCTATAAGCAATCTTCCTAGCATTTTCCTTTTACTACACCTTGACTTACTTTTAGAATTGATACATTTTACAGTGCTCACTTTTAAAACTGAGGAACCTTCTTGAACATTCCATGGCCTTTTCAGTCTGACTTTGATGCTTGATCCTGACGTTTTAGGGTGTGTTGAAGGCATCAGATGTCTTGTTCTAAGCCCCGCTCACAGGTTTATGGTTTGTTTTCCCCCATTTTAAATCACACCCAGCAGTCCACAGTAGCCAAAGCGTGCGGCTGTTAAAGTGCTGTAACAGTGCTGCATTAGTGGCAGGTAAGTTAGAATTAGCAGTGAGACGACGACTGTGTAATTACACAAGTTGTCATTTGTTCACGGTGGGTTGTTTAATTCAGGCAGCGAATGCTCACGTTAAAGAAGAGTGAACTGCCTTTAACCAGTATCCACCTCTCCAAACAGCACCTACACTGCAATTACAGACAAGAGATAGGTGTACGTGTGTGTGCACACATCTCAAAGTTAATGGCTGCATAGATGTGAGAGACTGAATGTGTTCATTTCTAACATTTTATCCTGGTTCACCTCACTCAGCCGTAGATCTCACACACACACACACACACACCTACACACATGAACATAACAGAGGAACAATTATCTGCCAGCATGAATCCATTTGCTGAGTTTTTTCAACCCACCATGTTTTAAAAGAATCTATTGGCCAATAAATTGCAAACAATAATTATTTCATATGCGTATATTTTTTCCTGTTTTTTTTTGTTTCTCGCGTTTTTTCACTGCGATTTAAAGTATTAAACGATCATTTGTAATCTATTGGTAACATTTTTAAGTAAATAGAAGTAAGATATAATATTTTAGTTAATATGAGTTGGTTTATTAGAACCACAACCACCTGTGAAACAAATAATGCAGTAATAAAATGTACAACATTGGTTTCTGTAAAATAAAGTAGACCCTTTTTTTGCTCAAGGTCAAACTATTATTTATTAAAAGTAAATATATAAATGTAAAAGAATGTCAAGCATGGTTGGTTTTCTGGCCCCATGTAGCCCTTGAGCCCTATGTTTCATAGTTACATATTTCCCTGTGGATAATAAACCTAATCACTGGTGAATATTTTTACACCATTTCTCAGCAGCAGTATGGCTCAGGATTGGGCTGCAGATTCAAAGAGGAGTAAAATATGTGGAAAAACCTACTACATTTTAATTTCTGACACAGATTTACACTTCAAATATATGGTCACTTTAAAGGCAATCTTAATTTTAAATGTCAAAGTAAAGGAACAATTGTTTTACATGTCCCCCTTTTTTTAGGCATTTTGTGTCAAAAAGACTATAATCTCAAACTAATAGAATGAAATTATTAACATGAAGAATATTGTCTCCACTCTTTGTACAATAATTCGAAAAGAACATCCTTTGTTTGTGTACATGTACTGAAAATGACCACTACCTACAGTTTTACTATGACATTATGCGTTATTAGTGTTTTATAATTCAATTAATATTAGGTTTGTTGAATTTTTATTTGAATTTCATATTCAAATAAAAAGAAACATATTATTGAGTTTGAATTATATCCTTGACAAAAGTTAATAAACGTTAGGGGCATCCGGATTATTAGGTGATAACTTATCTCCCTCTTCTGGTTGTTTACTGCCACTGCAATTAGCAAATGTGATCATTTGTGTGGCAGCAAATGTAGATGTTGATTGTTCATTGCAAACCTTTTTGCATTTATTGCTAGCGTTTGCCTATAATATTTTTTAAATCGTGTTTATAATGGACAAAAATGAAAAGGTCAAGAGTGACAGGCTGGAAAAGTGTAGGTATAAAAGGAGGGGGAAAAAACAGGAAAATCTTTTTTCATTAATTTTCACTATTGGAAAAGGTTGCAGATAACGTTGTTTGTCAGTAGACACTGGGAAATGCTTGTACAGGGGTTGGTCTTGACTAGGCTGATCTGCCAAATGCAGTAAAGCAGGTCTCCAAGTGTATACATTTGAACAGCCCGTCACTCCTGCTGGTATTGGCTGAGCAGCACTGATGTGGCTGTGGATAGCAGTGATATCATTGATACAGTCTTAATGACGTCTTCTTTTCAATCCCATTAACATATGGAATAAATAAACCTTGATTATTCTTTTGAAAATTCTATAAAAATAGCACCCTCTATTGGCCAGTCACCACTGCCAACTGGGGACTGGGGAGACCTGCTTCTTTTCAACTCTGCTCTGCATAGGAAGAGTTTATTTGAAATGAAATGCAAATAATAGAATTGATATTAATTAGTTTATTAAATAAGTTCACAAAAATGGCGAGAATAATAGAATTTCCATTAAAATGGAGAGTAAACATGAGGTGAACCACCTGGAAAGAAACAAACCCAGGAGTTTTAATGTCTACAAACAAGAGAAGCACACGTCAAGATCGATACAAACACATTCAGCATGTTCACACAGATGGCAGTCGGGATCGATGCAAGTCAAAGATGAACAGAGCTGTGATGCACAGCTGGAACAGCACATTCGTTTGATAGCTAACTGAAGGATTCAACTACACACTCAACTGGTCTTCGCACCTTAATTCATCTTAAATGAGTGTCATTCCTCAAACTATGCACATTCAGACATATCTACGTATCAAACGTCCTAACTGAATAAAACCACTCATTTAATCACAAAAGAATTTGACTATATACAGCACATATAAAAATGTGATTTAAATGAAGCTACAGAATCAAGGCTTTTAAAAATGACAGAATAAAATAAATGAAAGCTTTACAGTAGTATGACGAAGGAAGACTAAATATTTACAAGTGCTGCTGTAGACTTGGTATTTTTTTTAATATTGCTAAAGAAAACATTGTACCCAGATCCTGTACCTACAATGTGATATAATCAGATAATTTGTTTAAAATTTGAATCCTATTGATGCTAGTTTTATTGACAAATGATCTAAAACCCAAGAAAGAATCAAAGTCTACAGCTACGCAGCAGCTCTGAAGCCAAACTTAGGCAAAATGGTGATAAATGCTACTGTTAGCATCTTGACATGCTAAAGCTAAACCAAATGTTTTCTACTGTATGTTCACACACACACTCCATTGCTACACTAGAGCTAATCAAATGTACAGTTCTGCCTGACGGCCATGTCCTGGTTGTAGGTTAACAATAATTTACCTCATGGTTCATGGTATAAAAAAGGCAGACATCCCAGAAACAACTCAATAATCTAGCACACGTTGTTTTTTATGGTTATCACAGAAGCTAACTCCTAATTGGATAAACATGACACTAACATGGTTGAAAAGTAGACCATTTTTGGTTCTACTGACTCATCATATCATTTCCTCAGCTTTTCCTCACTTAATCCAGGCCACTTCAGCCCACCAATATCAGAATATACATGTTGTTTTCTGTTAGCAAGCAAGTAAGCTAACAAAGGCACTGGCTGAAACGTTATAGTTGAAAAAAAAAAAGTGAGTCTATGGCAGGATTCTATGACACTAGTGAAAGAAAGCTGTTTTGCAGCATTATAGTATATCCAATATTTACTAACCTAGAACTGGCTCAACAAATCCTACGTCATACATTCTTTTTTTAGTAAGGTCAGAAACATGCATTCTCAAACTTTGCAGGTCTGAAAACCTCAAACATCAGGTGTAACAAAATGGCAGCTTAGCTTTACTGCATACATTAGTTTTAACCCAGAATCCACTGGGGTCAGATTTTGGAGTCAGCCACAGGCAGTTGAAGCTAGAACATTTCACTGAAGTCAAAGTAGAGTTGATTTTGATAACAGCCTCACCGAAGTCATGATGACCAAAATTAATATGTTTTTTTGCTCCATTGATAACCGTCAGGATTGTTTGGACTGTAGATGTCCATCAGACCGATCTGTACCATGTGATGTTCAGGTAAACACGTCGTAAGGATCCTTGCTGGTGTTCTTTAGATTAGAGCACATGATGAAAACATTATGCAATCACTCACTAAACAGCAGCAATATGATATTTCACAATGGATTCTTGGATACAGTAGCTTCAACCAGTGTATGTAATTTAATTAAAAGTAATACAGTAGGAATCATTAACCACTTACACCATGCGTTAATAGGGTCGTCACTTTTCATGGTAAAATATGAATATCTGTTCATCATGGGGGCGATAGTGTCATTTTGAGGATTATAAATGGAAGTAATTGCTGTGCAGTCCAACAGAGGGTGGTTTCTAGTGTAACCTAACACACTGTTTATGAATCAGTTAAACATAACGTCAAGGTTGTTTTGCTGTAAACATGCAATACAGCTAACCCGGTCCTTTACTAGGGAGGCCTCAATACAACTTCTTCACGTCCGATGCCAATACTGCAACTTTAGCATAAAGGTATCGATATCAATCTGATCCCTTCTTCTCTCCTCCACAATGTCACGTGCTGCCCTTGATGAGGTGATAGTGTCCCCGTTGGGCTTAGGTATTGGCTCAGATGGGCTATATTTGTTTTTTGATGTTCAACCCTGATGTTTTGAATATCAGAACGAGTATCAGATCGAGCCATCCGTTGCCTTAGCCCAGGTGTTATCCTTCCAGCATATCAACACTATATTTCCTTACTGACTAAAAATACATCTGTGCTTGCACAAGCTGCTCACCAAGACTGGCAAACTTTAGCTTAACCCTGACCGGAAGCTAGCATGTTAGAAATGAAATGTTTCTAGTGATGATGCTGACAGGGTCACCAAAGGGTCGCCAAAAAGTTGTTTCTGCTGTTAGCAAGCAAGCTGGACAGAGAAATGTGACAGGTGTCGGATTCTAAAAGAAGAGCATAGTTGGGGTTTTGATGGTCCAACGGAAATCACAAAATGACACTTTCTCACCAAAGCATTACTTGCCGACTATTAACATGTCTGTGTCTTAAAGAGAGACTACTACTACTACAGCTGTTTTGCATGTCACTGATTGTATTTACTGTAATGATGAGTCATTGACTGGGGGTGGGATATTTGTTATGTCCTAAGCTCTGACAAGGTTGTGCAATGTGTTTGAACTTGTTTTGGGGAAAAAGTGACAACCCTAATATTTCAGTATGAGCTAATGTGAGAGATTACGGCTTTATACTGGAGTTGTACACAATCATATGCCCATCTCTAACTACGCTTAGTCAGAGGCCTTCCCTCCCGAACCTGTTTTGCGCTCCTCTTTTCTGTCTTTGCCTTCTCCCTAACCTTCCTCAGACGCCGAGGAGGTGGCGTTCCCCTGGACTCACTGTCTTCCTGTGCGCTGGATGTGTCCATCCCATCCCTCTCCTCGGGAATATTGGGTATAGCCCCACTGCTGCCGTCTAGAATGTTCCTCAGTGAGGGATCCTCAGGTGTACAGGTAGTGGTCGTACCACTCTCACTGCTGCTGAGGTCCTGCTCTTCACCATAGCGCCCTCCTCGACCATGATGAGGAAAGGACGCCCTAATTGAAGGCCTGTCACGCTCTGTTTCGCGTATGTTCTGCTGAGGCTCATTCATATCCACTCCTGAGTCCAGGCTAGTGTCGTTGCTGCTAGGCGGACGGTGGCGGCTTTGGAGTTCAATGATAGAGTGACGAACCTGTGCGGCCGGCTTCCCGTCTAAGGAGACAAACCAGGCCCTGGGGTGAGATGATGAAGATTTCCCCCGGGTCAGCTCCAGTAAGGTGCGCTCTGAGATCCCTTGTAGCTCACTCGGCACATGCCCGCCTCCAAATGCCCCCATACCGGCTGCCTCGTTCAAGGTTCCAGGCACTGAAACAGAGGATTCAAGGAGGTTACTGTAGCGTCCCCATACAGCAGGGTTAGGGCCTTGTCCCGGGGGAGGAGTCTCCAGCGGCTGGGGTTCATCTGTGTTGGTTTGCTCTGTGCTGTTAGCACCTTTGGGTAGTGTCTGGGTGTAGCTGTCTTTACTGGCAGGCTCAGAGTGAGCGTCGTACTCACCTCCGTTGCGAGGGAAAGTAGCAGACTTGCAGCCTGACAGCTGCTGCTCCTGAGCACCAAACAGCTCTGGGGCCTGGATGATGGCCACCGGTTGGTTGTAAATGTGAACCAGCTTATCTGGAAAAAAGCTGTCTGTGTTTAGGTTGGCCCTGTTTTGCTCTGACTTGTCCCGAATCCTTGCGACCTCGTCACTGTTGATGTAGTGTGGTGGGTGATGACTTTTGATTCGATCAGAGGAAATGTTCTCATACAGAGGAGGGGCTGCCAGACTCCCTGGGTCCTCCACATAGATGTTGTAGTTGGCTTTATGCCTCGGTGTGGAGGATGGTTCACACTGGACGCTGCATGAAGCAAGACTGTTGTCTCCCATACGGAACAACAAACCCTCCTCCATGTGGGTGGAGGTGGTTTGGTCTTTCTTGACAGCAGTGAGTTTGGAAAAGCGTGCCCTTCTTCTCCTGGGCTTCTGATTAGAACTTCTGAATGTAGAAGAAACAAAGTTTCATCAGTTTTAATTTCAGTTTTTATTCTTCTGCTTGCTACTTTTTAATGGTAAACTCTTTGAATTTTCTCACCTGCAGTGGCAGAGCAGCAAGGACAGACATACGATGATGATAACCAGTGTTCCTCCCAGTACACCAATGAGCAGGTAGGTGTGTGACGATAAGAATTCAATAGCACTTCCATGGCCGTGATAATCTAAAAGGTTACATGTAGTAGAATTCAAGTTTTACTCACAGGCTTTAAACCTTTAATGTGACATAAGGTTAGCGAAGGGGAAGTTGATATTCATACCACTGATTGAAGGCAGAGGTGCAGCTAACCAGAATCCCAAATGTGAGGCAGTGTAGGTCCAGACCAGTCCGTCTCCCAGATTTTTCACAATCCCAAGACCCTGGTTTTCCCAGGCTCCTTTAACAAATAAACACATTTCAAATGTAAGTGCGTCATCAGTCGACTACGTTCCTCTCATCAAGCCTTTATTCTTACCAGTGTTTTGGTTGAAGGCCCAGGCTGGTACTGTGTCAGTTGCCCGTAAGTGGGTGTTGTGACCCAGAGGCAGACTGATTTGTATAGGACCTCGGACCTGGAGCTTCTCATCTCCAGAATACAGCAGGACACTGACAGCAGCGACTGCCTTCAGGTCTACACTCCTCAGCACTACGGGTGTAACAGAAGGTTGAAATTTAGATTTTGTGACATTTAAAACCTCAGCACGTCCAGAGGTCTCACTGTGACTCACCTGATTTGTTGCTGACAATCCCTTGGGTGCAGTTTCCACAGTCTTTAGCCAGGCAGTGCTGTGGGACAGTCAGGTACGCTGTGACTGAGGAGGCGTTACTCATCTCCAAAGGGCCAAGAAGATTTTTGGGAAATTTCACGCTCGGCTGTGATGAGCTGTCTATAAAGACAAGGTGGAAGGTAACGAGGCATCATCAAGGCATTTTAAACACAAGGTCTACATGAAGACACTACAGACAGAATGTTGAATACCAACTTGTATCAGGTTCATTTAATGAAATAAGATTTCATGAAAGTGTAATCATCCTCTACGTTATGTTCACCATGACAGATTATTGATAATGGCTGTTCACCTAACTTAAGATATTCATTGTTTTTTTAGTAACAGTTATCTAATATTTACAATTTCTCTGTGGCTTTTAAAATGTTTTGGTAACGTTCAGGATTTTTATAGCCTATTATGTTTGTCAAAAGGTTATTTTTTGTTTATTTGCTAAACTTTTACCTATATCAGGGATAATATCCTGGTTTGATTGAGGTATTGTTGACTGGGTGAACTATCAACTAACTTAATCCTTCGCTAGCGTTTCAGAGCTAACTTTTTTTCCTGCTAACTTTAGGCTAGCATGGCATGGCTAACCATTGTGCATTAGTGTTCCTTTTTAAGCTATTTTAATGGATTGGTGTGGTTAGGTTGTAGCTAGTTTTGGGTAACTTTTAGCCATTTCATGTTTTGTTATCTTTATTTCTAAGTAAACTTTAACCTGTTTTTACAAAGTTTGAGCTAATTAACTATCTTTATGGAGGTTATCTTTGTGGGCATTCACAGAACTTTCCAACCTTTTGGCTTCATTTTAAAATAATGTTTCCCACACAAGACATTCAGTGTATGTTACAGTCCACTTGTGGACACATTTAGATTTATTTTAGGACATTTTATCCAAATTGCTGCTGTACAGAGGATCTGTTGATGTCCACTTTCTCTGTGGTGTTATATTTCTCTATATATAATCTGTGAAATCTTACCAGGCAGCTTCCCAGTGATGAGCACAGAGTCGTCAAAAAGCCAGACATTGCCTTGACTGTGAGGAAGCAGTAGCAGTGTCACAGATGAGAAGACTGTGTAAAAGAATAGAAGAAAAATATATAAATACAGACAATTTTTCTTGTTACTCTTCTATTTCTTTTCTCCTGGCCATGGAGCTGTTTTTTATTTATTTTATTTTTTTTTTTCATGTAGCTGTTTCCGTTGTACTCTCTCACTTTAACCAGCAGATGGCAGCACCAACACTTCTACTTTATACGTGTTTATATGGAGCTCAGCAGCACAGAAGGGTGGCGTCTGTCTGACGATGCAGAGCTAAGCATACTCCACCTGCCAAGACAGTGTCACAAAGCAGCACATCTCTGCTAATCTTCTGCTGGATTAAAACTAGGAGGTGCCCATGTCCATATGGAAGGACAATAGACCAACACCACCAGAGCCCACCCCCTCCTATCTCATTTTTTTACCACCATGTGAGACCCATGCTGCTTTGCCTGGGAGACCCCACCCCCCTGTCTACGTGATGGTGTGCAGGACAAAGACAGTTTTCAGAGACGCCTTTCACCTTGACTTTACCTTACGTCTGCTTTTAGAAACAATCAATTCAACGCCTACAGGAGGCAGTGTAAGGTTACGTTTGACTGCATCCTCACAACACAGACGGCTTCACTGTGAACTAAACTGGGAGGCAAGCTAATGTTTCGTTAATACTTAATGATTCCGAGAAATACACGTGTAGCAGAGAATTAGTGATAAACGTTGGACTGAGTATTTTGGAAGGCACACGTCTACCTCAGGTCTATTTATTCAACTGATCAACCTTTGAGCCTTATTTCATACAGAAATTTCACTGGAAAATCTAAGAAGTTTAGGGCAGATCACTTACTGGGTCTTTTGCTGGTTCTCCATGGCAGAGGACAGGGCACGTAACCTTCCATGCTGCCCAACAGAGTCAGACTGAGGCCTGGGCTGAATGTCACCCAGAGCAGAACCTCTCCTCTGGCCCTTGTTTGGACCGAGCTTCTCAGGGTGTGGTTGACATAAACGTCCACTGAAGCCCCCGACAGTGGCTGACGGGTCACCTGATCCCTCACCAAGACTTTAAGAGCAAACTGATGATCTGGTAAAAAGAGTAGTTTAAACCCAGTCAGCTGCAGTTAAATGATTGATACAAAGGTATCATGACTGAAGACTATGCTTTGTCTCTATAGTATACACATGAAGTATATATTGTCAGTCTGACAGTGTATCATGTAAACAGATATTTAAAAGAAAAGAAAACACTAGGCTTCAGCCTAAAAACACTAATATTATGCACGAAAAACCACAGCAAAAAAACAGAGGATAAACTTCGACCAGAAGTTAAAATGTATTAAATGAAGCATTGAATGACTCAATGCAATAAAAAACTACAAAGTATCATAAAGGTTGGCCACTAATTTGTATGTTAGCCATAAACATTACAATTTGTTTTGAGTTTAAATAAATGACAAAACAGTGATAACCTTAATAAGATACAGAAACCATATTGGTGACGGGCTTAGCCTAAACAAAAATAAATAAGTGAAATAAGCTGAATTACAATTAAATGACCAAAAAAATTAAAAAGGGTAAGAAAAGAGAGATAAGATGATGAAAAATAATCACCACACATCAAACATAGAGATTAAAAAAGTGCCAAAATATGGTGACGCTGCAAAGCCCCATTACAGCCAATGAGACTGTTGAAAGTTTGTCCAGAACTAGATACATTTCAACCAATGGTTAATTATAAATGATCAAAACAGAATTCCCTGGAAATCTGTCAATCTGTTTCTAAAAAAAAGGAAGATGAAACAATTCAACAATAAATTGGTGACATGGTGACAACTGAACACGTGATCTGTAATTATACACATGTTGTCACAAATATCAACACCCAAAAAGAAGGATGTGAGTGTTGATTTATAAATTAGATTAAAACGATGACGATGAAAATAACTGTATACAATATTAATGATACTGTTATGAAACAGTGATTCTTCACTGCTGACTCCAGTGACTCACACTCTGCTCATTTCTCCATATTTCTCTCTGACAATCAGAGAAGAGAACAATCACCTTCTGTCCTCCAGGAGGAGGAGTCGCTGAGTGGTCGCTCCGGGGAGGAACCGCCTGTGTCCCCGGCCGGGACACCATTGTTTGCAGGCGAAGAAGCTCGCAGGCCTCCGCCCTCCTCCTTCTCCACCTCCTCCTTCTCCGCCGCTGCGGCCCTCGCTGCTCCATCTAGGAGCAGGCAGCTGATCAACAACAACGGCAGGAGGCGATCAAGAGCGGCCATGGCCACAGGAGGCTTACAGACATAACGGAGCAGGAGTAAAAGAAAACAATGTCCTAGTGAGCAGGGATTTGTTTCATAAAAATATCTCACGACAACCTCATCCCTTCGTCTTTCCGCCGTGTCTTTATTATAAATGCGGATACAGCAGCCAATCACGATGCAGTGGTGCTGAGGCTGGGGCGGAGGACGGAGATCGTTTCTGACGGGAACATGCGGCACTCGGTGAATAAATATTCTGCAGGATGTTCATTGAACGGGGGCTGCATATTAAACACATGTGACGTCATATTTTCCAAATAATGTGTTGTGGTAATCTAGCCTATGGCTGGTGAACCAAGTTGGAATCAAGCAGTCATAAATTGTGGACTTGGTGATTTTGACCTTGAAGACTTCTGGCTGGATATATATATGGACCAATACATATTATTTGAACCCTGGGTTTTTTTTAAGTATCTCACTAAATATTCTGTGGATTCACTTTGGAATGTGAATATGTGTCTGCCAACTGAAACCCTGAAGAATACAAAGAATATTTTCTTTGTTGACTTGGCCTGTTAATACACAGGTGTGGACTTTTTTTCTGTGACTCAAACTAAACTCCTGACAACTCAGATTCCGTTTGACTTTATTTGAATTTAGATTTAAAATTCTATCAACTTGCCAACAAAATTGGTTCATAATTATGTCTTGTGACTTAGACTAGGCAAGGACTTTACTGTGTGTTCTTCAGTGGACACCAGGGGCCTTAACTGGGAGTTACCTCAACGGAACTTCCAGTAGATGTGGATTCAGTATTCAAAACCCCAGTCAGACAACCGTCAAGTATTTTTTTTATCTAAATAATCAGAATTTTCTAAATTAAATTTGTATATAGTATCATTGCATTAGTCTGTGATGTGTTGAAGAATGGTTATATGTTTTTGTGTGGTTTTGTAATCACCACTTCCGTACCGTGAGAAACAACCGGAGTGAGACATCTTCGTGTCTTTGTTACTGAACGGACAGAGGGTGCTGTTACGTCATTGGCTTAATTAATCATCTCTTCTGTTATTTAATGACAAGACATTTTTATCGATTAAACTCCAATGGACTAACTTTCCACGCATTTATTATTTTAACATAATATAACTGATCATTCTAACGTGTAGTATAATATAATAATAAACTATGGATCAGGGCTCATACAAACAAAATTGGAGATTCACTAATTATAAAGGGTCAGGAAAAAACGCACATCTTTCCTAAAACTTGCTAAAAACTACGAAATACACCACTTCTCATTTTCTTAAGATTATTAAAAAAAAAGACTTCTAGAGGACATATTTTGAATAGTAATGTATTGTACTGAACTTTAAATGTCACTACATGACTGACAGAATGACTGAATTCCATATCCCAAAGTATAACACAGATCAATGCAGAAATATAACTGAGTTGCTGGTTTCCAATTTTATTTTTGGCTTTTTTTCTTTTTTCAAAAATCATTCATTTTTCTTTATTATAATGTGGATGATGAAATGACAGAAATGTTCAAGAGGCACACAAGCTGTCAAAGAACATGTTCAGGCAACAATTGAACATGTTTTAAATACACAGAACATGATGATGTGGAACGTTACTTTTGAAAGTCAGTTTTCTGTGTCTCAGCTCAATGGTTTTACCTGTGTGGTAAAAGTATTCCAAATAGGCCACAGTTTATAGGTTGAACTCGTTTGCAAACGCTTTAAGTAGCATTGCTTAAATAACATTACTTTTTCTTCTTCTCCTGTGTGGAGGTGAACCACTGGTCCAGCAGCTTCTTGCTGTAGTAGATCTGCCAGCCATGGACCTGCACAGCAATGACAATCACCAGGTACATAACTGACACCGCAGAGAAGCCAAAGATGAAGCGATACGCTTTGCCGTGACGATACAGCTGCTGCGCCACCGGGAACATCTCCATGCTGCCGTAGATCAGAGGCGCCACACAGAACAGTCCAGCACTGATCATAGAAATTACCAGGTAGCTGATGTTGTTTCGAGGCATCGCCATAAAACTGAAGACTGTGGGAATGATGCTGAGAAGGTAGGGATACTCCCACTGATAGGGGGAGGCTACAACTTTGTGTGAAACCAGGCTCAGTTGGCTCACTGTTACCTAAAAGAGAAAGAGTGAAAAGGTCAACTCATCTGTTTAAGTTGACAAAGTCAAGGTTTGTCAACTTACGTGTTGTTTGTTGTTACCTGAGCCATCATGAGGACCCAGACAAGAAGATGAACAATGTTGAGTTTGCGTATTTCAGATTTTAAAGCAACACTGCAACACATAAAAAAGATAATAAAATTGCTTTTGAACAACAGGCAAAAGGATGAAAATATTTTTTTTGGCTTAATGCATAGCTACAGAAAACTGTGTTGCCAAAATAAAAGCAGAAAAGTTGATCAATGACAAGATTATAAGTGACTGTTTTCAAATTATTAGTAATTAGAAAATTGACATGCACTAAAGGAAAGGAAAGTGAACTACTAAGTTGAGTTTATCTAAAAATGTAACTTTTAATATAATTAATATATTAATATTAATTACATTAATATATTTTGCAAGAAATAATAGTGTTTTACTTGACTATTTTTTTAATGTCCACTTCAGATTGTTATTCATTTTGAGACATAACCTTACCTCACATATAGGATTAAATTTAAGAAATGAACTTTTCCCAGTACATAACCAAAACCTGATTAAGTTTTGACCCCACTCTTAGACTAGTAGTCTTTGTATTTTATTAAATTATCATGTAGATAACCTTTCATGTGATGATTATTACTTTCGTTGTACATATTGTACCTCATCTGGTAATGGGAGGCGACCCTCTCCCGGTGTTGAAAGTCACTGCCATCTGTGCCTGTAGCTCTGGGACCTGCTCGAGAAGCCATAGTAGGAATCTGCAAAGACGCAGCACAGCAAGGGTTGAACCAAGCAAGACCGACAAGTAAAATAATTCACATTGAGACGTGGTTTGAACGGGTCCTGAAGGGCAGTCATTTCCTTTCACGTTCAGGGCTAGGTGTTAGCACTGACAGCTTACTCTTAGCCAGACTATTTTCTGAGAATAAAATAGGTGATGTGGGTTGATTAAATTAGAGTTAAATTCAGGTTTTTGAATAAACAGGCAAAATGTTCACATACCTTTTATTTTTACAGACTTTAGTTAAGTCTAATAGCCAACAATAGCGTTCATGCTGTAAACGTAACGGTTGAGTTTTGACTTCCGGGTTCTGCAAAATATTACATCCGTTCATGCGCAGTCCAGACGTGAGTTTCATGTTTACTTGGGGTCATGATTAGAGTGACGACCTGAGCAGTTTTAGCATTTGTCACGCAAATTGAACAATTTGTCCCACTTTTTCATTCGACATTACTTAAATGAAATAAACTTTTTTATATACCTGTGCTGTCTATGAGCGGTCTTCCAGTGCAGTCCATAGCAATGATAGGTGACTTCGTGGATAAGGCAGTAGTTGTGGAGTGGTGTGTCAATCAAACTACTGACTCGTAGCAATCACACACACACACTTCAGCGTCTGAAATAGTAGAGCGCGCAGTTGATATGAAGTGAATTCCCCCAGTGCAGGATGATAAGCCATCACATATTACGCTGTGACTTAATGACTCGGCTGCTTTACGGACTTTTACTTTTGTTTCGTGGGTTGCTGTGCTCAGTCAGTATCCGGCCAGCTGGTGAAGATGTTGCTCATTCTAATGTCTGCTCTGCTTTTTAAAGGTACGTCACACTTACAGCGACTATTGCCAGTATATTGTAATGGAAAAGAGGAGGGTTAATTATTCTCGTTCGTTTTTTGTTATTCATCTCAATGTTTTCATTCTTTCCTAAAAGAAAGGTAAAAGAAATAACGTGTTTTCTATGTTATATTTGGTTTTATTTTCATTTTATGGACATAAATTGAAGCATCGGCGATGAAAATCAACAGTTATGGAAACAGGACAGCTGTATATGGTGAAGACGCTCGTTACAGGTGCTCAGCAAACGACCAATCAGGTGTGAAAAGTCTTTTGACGTTTGTATGTCCATTTGTTTCCCGGTTTTGTTTTTTTGTTTATTTATGTAAAATTCTGCTAATTAATAATATTTTTTGTAAAGTGGGGGAAAGTATATTGCTAAAGTAGCTTGTTGCTAGCAAAATATAGCAATAAAAGCTATTTCTACGCAAAAAAATATTTTAAGATAAAGATAAAAGTAGACACTGTAGATACTGTAAGTCAGAATGCAACTTAGTGTATTCCCCTAGGTTGTAGGTGTTTCCTTTTTCTTTTCCTTTCATATTCTAGGGCCTAGAATATGAAAGGAAAAAGAGAAAGCAAATTAACTTTTTTTATTTATGCGAAAGAAAAAGCAAATTAACTTTTTTTATTTATGCTTTATTAAAAGCTGCAATGTTTGGCAAAAGTAGGTCAACAACAGCTAAGAGCAACAAAAAGACAATCAATGGAAGATGCATAGTTGCCACAAAAACTTGGAATATTGTCAAAGGAGAAAGAACTTCACTAATAGTTGATTTGAGGACCAAAACATAGCTATAATAGTTTACAGCTCAAGGTAGCCTAGAGATGGCTAAATGTGGTCTAGAAATTGGTAGGAGAGAGCTAAAAATTAGTGAAAAAAAAAATTCCAATGGGAGTCTAATAAAAATAAAAATGAAACTTGTGAAAGTTAAATGAGTCACAGTCCTTGTTACACTGCCATGAAGAAAACCCCTGTTTCAGAATTAGTTTTCTTGGTTGATCAAGTGAATCTTCACAATTCATACTGAGATTTTCCCATCTAACGCCCGACCACTACTGACTGTACTGTTCAAAAGGTGTTCTTCAGGTCACCTGGCAAAGGTTCAAAGATGATGCACTAGAGAATTTGGCAACGTACAGCAAACGCTTTGGACTCAGAGTGAACACACCTTACCAGGGGAAAATTGAGCTGACAGAAGAGTCTCTCAATTCCACTGCCATCACCGTGAAGAATGTGTCGTGGCACGACGACGGATGTTATATCTGCTCATTTAATGTCTATCCCTATGGTTCCACTGAAGAACAGATCTGCGTGAGTGTGGAAGGTAAAGCCACAGCAGCTTCATCTCATGTCTCAAATGTAGTCTGATCCTGTGTTCACACATACAGGCCATATATGGATATGATTTAAACCAGTGGGTTTAAAAGTGGGGAGCACTACGGGAGGGAAGATCCCAAAAAAAAAAAAAAAAAAAAGCAGGGAAGATCAAAAAAAAAAAACTGAATTATTTAAATCTTTCTTGTTATCATTTCTCCTGAACCATACAACATTTGAACTGCCCCATAGTCAGATAGTCTAGTCTGGCCCGACCCAGGACCAGGAGAAATCTTTGTCCAGATATGGACCACATTCTCAGACTGGTTTAGATATGGCAAAGTCTGAACTGCCTTAAAATAAGTTTGACATCTAAATTCATTTTTTTGTTCTTACAGCTTTGATTCTGTTGTTAACGTTTTTTTACAAAATGAATTCAATTGTGCAAATAGGAATATCCCAAGTGGACACCGGCTACATCGTCATAAGTCCACTCCTTAAAGACAGCGTGGAAATCCTATTCAGCTGCTCCGCCACAGGGAAACCAGCACCAACCATTGAGTGGGATGGTTCTTCTAAATACACTCAATCGCAGACGACTATAGTTTCAAACAGCGACAACACGTTCACCAGTAGCCAGAACATCACTGTGAGGGTTCCTCTTGCCTGGGATGGACATGTGGACTGTCTGCTGAATACTGGACAGAGGGGACAGAGGCGGGAGAGGATTCCTTATGCCCTCAGTGCAGGGCATAAGCAACAAAGTAAGTGACCCAAAATCATTATTCTTCTAGATTTAATTTGTATTCATACCTGTACATGGGCAAAGGGTAGCTTACTTCATGAATCGCTACAACATTCTGGTTCACTTACCTACCCCAACTTGTCAAAAGTATTCAAATTAGATTTGGATTATGAATCAGTGAACAGAAAGAAAACAGCAGGTGGCAAGTTTTCCAACTTTACCAACGCAAACATAGTTCAACATGTGGTGGTTGGGCAGTAGTGGCTTAGTGGTTAGTGCTCTGAGCATGGCTCCGTCCCCACTCACTGCTCCCTGGTCCTTAAAGCTGCCCACTGTTCACTTTGGTGATGGGTTAAAAGCAGAGGTCACATTTGGTTGTGTGCAGTGGTGAGCTGTGTCACAGTGACAAATAATTCACTATAATTCACTTTACATATGGACCTGCACATTGCCTCAGGTGAGAGGTGAAACTTCCTCCCTTTGACCTGGATGACTGACAACATTCATACATAGATGGATTTATTTACCACTGTCCAACCACTGTATGTGTGTGTGTATGTGTATGTATATATACAATATGTATCAGCTTTTGATTTTAAATTTTAAACACATCTCACCTACCACACTGTGGGAATCCCTGTTGTCCACCACTTTAGTCAGTTGAGCAGTTTTTATTTATGTAATACATAAATATGCTGCACCAAACTTCAAAGTAGTGATACCTTTCTCACCTGTGATAAACTAAACACGCCTTCTTACTGACTGGTAGTAACAGGGAAATATGACCAGTTAAACTTTTCAACTTTCTTTGGAAATCCCTGAAGATTCTAGGTAGTCACATGTGCAACAATACTCACAAGACACACGGGTGTGCCTGTTGTTTACAGGCATTTCATTTTGCGTCGTTGTTATTTATTTTTGAACAATTTTGAAAGGTCTGTGAAAGACATGAGTGAAATACAAAAGGTTCATGGTTTGAAGGTGATACAGACACAGATACATACAACATACAAAGAAAAATGAAACCAGTTAGAACAGCTTGGTGACAAAACAAACCTAAGCAGAAACTGTACGCAAGAACATTTTAAAAGAAGCAAACTTCCTAAAAGCTATGCTGTTGTATTGTGAAACTAAAACAGCTTTGTCAAAAAAAAAGAACACAATCATACAATCAAAAAGTGCTTAAAGATGGGGTAAAATTAAAAACAGTTTCATATTAAAGTATGTATATGTATGTAAGTTGGAGTTTTACTTTAAAAATATATAAATGAAATAATAAATATGAAGTAAAAAGTAAAAAAGTTTAGTGATTAGATCAGAGAGTCAGATAATAAATTGGCAATGACCAAAAGTCAAAAAAGGTATAAGGAAAAGAAATAGGGTAAAATGAGGTAAAAAGAATATGTTCAAAAGCCTCATTTGGACAGGTACTATTGAAAACAAAATGAAATGGACAATAGTAAATGTCATTCAAACTTCCCCTTAATATTTTTTCGCAGGAAAAGTAAGTATAATATATCTCATTGTTGAGTAACCAGGAACAATGTCACACCTTAATAGTCTGATGGAGCAAAAGAGGAAGGGTTTGTTTTAATAAATTAAAATGCTAAGTCATAGTGTAAATGTGGCATTATGGAAATGAGTGTTGGTATTTTAACTGGGGGATTTTCTGCAGAAACTTCCAGCTTCTGCCTTTGAGAACAAGCGGTCATTTATCTAACATTCAATATATATAATTATATTATAATTATATATATAAAAATTAATTGAGTAGCCTTGAACCAATCAACCCTTTTGTTCTCAAAGGTTCTGGGTCCAGTGGTGGCTCTATTAACCATTTGAAAATCGGCCATATTCTACATATTCAATTGAGTGTTTATACTATTTTAACTTTTCCAACTGCTTTTGGTTTCTTTGTAACTTTAGTTTTTTTAAAAAGAAACTTAATTTGTTTTCACTACGTTAACTATGTAATGTTAACTTGTAAATATACCTTGTATATTTCCGGCTAACATTTAGCTTTTTACTGGTCTTTTGAACAGTTCACGAGGAAATTATTCATTACTCATTGATTTGGTTGCTGACCAAAGGCTTACTATTTTTTACAATATTTTTTCTACCTTTTGCTTAGTGTCATCATTGTTTTTGTTGTTATATTTCTTGGGGAAATCATAGTTAATCTGTTCTTTAATGAGATTTTTTTCTTTTCCTTTTTTGAACGCATTTTCCTGACATTAGGGTTTATCATTGCTTACTTTTAGCTATTTTCCTGTTAATTATTTCTTCTTTTACTGTTGACAGAGGGAGGTTTGTCAGAGTACGTGCTGGGACTTTCAATTTGTGCTGTGGTCCTTCTGTTCTGCAGCATTGTTGGAGTTGTTTTGATTTGGAAGAAAAAAATGTGAGTACACTACCACAGATCATTAGGACATTGTCTAATAATAATTATCTTTACAAGTTGAATAGTTTGTTGGGTCAAAGGGAATCAACAAGCTCAACTTGCTTCATGTTATTTGCACTCTGGCTTTGGAACAGTTGTCCTGTCCTGTCTGTCTGTCTGTCTGTCTCTCCCTGGCTAATTCATGTCATGACACTAACCTGTCTCATAATATCAATATCTCATATTGTCCTTTCTCTCTCTCTCTCTCTCTCTCTCTCTCTCTCTCTTTTGTTGTGTTCCCTGTTCGCTGTTCCTGTCTGGACTGTGTGAACTCTTCAGTTTAGTTTCTGTTTTTGAAAAATAGAAGTGAAGACAGCTGTAATACTTTTACTTTTAACCTAATGCATTAACACATTTTTTTTTCTCTTTGGTAGGTCACAATATAACAAAGAGTCTGTAATGAATCAGAGGACGTTCACACCGGTGACATTGATCGCTTAAAATGTACTACTGTCCTGGCTTACAATCACGTAAGATAACACCATATCTTTTTGTGTTTTGTACAACCTTACAAATTAAAATACAAAGTAATAGACACCTAAAAATTCAGAGCTCAGAGCATCTCAGGGGTGACTTGACAGCTGGTGGACTCATTGGTGGACACAATTATTTGCACTGCACTTTCAGTTTCACTTGGACACAGTTATTTGCACTGCACTTTCAGTTTCACTGTGGTTTGTGAAGAAGCAGAATCAGTCTTTTCATTATTATTATTTATTATAAGGCTGTGATTATTTTGTGTATTGCTACTGCAACTTTATTTGGTATTAGCACCAAGTACTCGTGTAAAAATGTCACCTATCATATTTATAAATAACCTGTAAAATAAATGTTAATTGTTCAAAATGAAGATATATTAAATATTGTCTCCATGATAATTTCAGTGTACAATGTTGTATTTTATAAAGACACACACTCCACCTGCTGGTCATCTTCATTTGCGAGGATTCACCGGTGTTGTATGATGTCAAACGTTCCTAGAGCTGCGTTCTTCTGGACAAACACTCAGATGTTGTACCTGGAATTTTTGCCATCACCACAACAAAAATCTTGACAAATTATATTTCAAATTTATTGAAATAACAACACATGACATCACATTTTATAATGAATCAAAATAAATAACATAACAACAAAAAAACACAAAGGAAATAAAAGCGCCATTGGGCCTTCTCGTCACACCTGTCATGTCTCCATGCCCCCACCAGAGGGGGGGCTGCCCAACATTTTGTGAAGCACTGGTTTAATTCACGTTTGTAACATTGTGTTCCTAAACTTCATCATCAGGGGGCGACATAGTCCCATTTACTTGTTACTTGACGTTATACCTTGAAGGCAATTTAATCCCGATATCCAAATACTTGCATACCCCTGTTTAAAACATTGCTGCCTTTACGTGGTATCGAAATTATAATGTAAACAAAACAAACATCGGATAAAACCTGTGATAAACAGATCGTTTACATGACTGAAGCTCCTAAGTCTTAGCAACAACTCCCTAATCAGACCGGTCAAAATGAAGAGAGACTATTTTGTCCACGTTGTTGCACAGTGACACCAGTGGGCGCACAAACGCGCGTGTAGTACTTAGAGACGGAAAGTATGTGGAGGTTTGTTTTTTTTGGAGGTGGGAAAGAAACAGCAGCAGAGACTTAACGCTGTCTCAGTGAGTGACGGTTGAAACGTGGACTAGTTACAGTCGCCTGTAGTTTGTTCGGTCCCCTCTAAGTAGGTAAGACACATTTTCCATTATTCCCTGTAAATCAATTTTTTAAGAGATTATAGTTGCAGTTTAATTTTTAATTGATCTCTATGAGGTATACTTGTTTTCAGCTGAAAATAGATATGTTGGCTCGTTTTCCTAATTATCTGCTGGTATATAATCAAATATTGAATTGACTGTCCTTTATACTAAAAGAAAGAGCTACTATGTCTTTTATAGTATGTAGAGCTTGTTATTAAAAATCGTTCATATATTTTAGATACGCTTAAAATATGTTAGGTTTATATTTATAAATCAAATAAATTTGTTCAGTCACATGTGTTACTGAGTGTTTGTTTAAAATGAGTAGCACAAAAAACTCAATAATAATAATGTTGTGGTGACAAATGTCAGAACATCAGACACATTAGCCTGGTAAGTTATTCAATTTAGCCAAAGCCAAAGGAACAATATTGTAGAAAACCAGAGGTTAAAAAAGTTGATTCCGGACGTTGAAAACAGTAGTACATCTTGGCTAAATGGGAAAAAAAGGTCATTCATGGCCAGAAATATCATCAGTTTGGTCAAAGAATGAAAAAATAAATCAGAAATATTAATGTTCATAATATGATAAAAAGAAAAAATGTAAAAAGACAAGTAAGAACAAGACAAGTTGTAGCCAAAAGTTTCTCAAAGTTGGAACAGGTAACACATGGTGGCAAATAGACAAAAATGCCACAAAATGTGATGTTATTTCAACATATCTGAAAAAAACCACCTGTTGGATGTAACTATGGGCAGATGGAGAGGCAGGTGTCGATGTTTCAGACTAAACCTTTTTCACTTTAAAAAATGATTTGTGGTCTGCTGTTATAATGTGTCAGAAGGATTTACATGCATCTAAAAGCTGTGCCCAGGTGAAAGTGAAACAGCTGTCCCTGACATGTTGAACCCCACGTGTTCCACTCACATGCTGGAATCAGGTTCATCGTAGCTGTAGTAACTGTAGCCTGCTGTCAACATGTGGGCTGCATTTGTGGTGAGAAAGGTATTTTAGAGTCCTTGCCCAGCAGCAGCAGCAGCAGCAGCAGCAGGCTGCCAAATGGAGGCCAGATGCTGTAAAAGAAAAACAGGCAGATTTTTAAGGTCTGCTTCATTGTGGTGGAGGTGTCTCTACTGTAGGTCTTTTCTGTGCCCTCTGTTCTACTCCAGCTGTGTACACAGTCTGACTTCTGGACAATGAGCGAGGCTTAAGACAGTTCTCAAATCAAATTGGTGTTAGAAATCTTGCAATTGTGTTGATGTTTAGTAACAGGAGGTCTCCTCAAGTCAGGACTCACATACAAGTTCATATTACAT